AACTAAAAAAAAAAATACTAGCTCCACGTATCATAATTTTGTAAAAATTTAATATGTGAGTTTTGAACTTTTAATATAAAATTTGTATTTAATTTAAAATTAATTGATAATAAATTAACTAAACTTCTTTATATTTAACTTATATATATATTTTTTATAATATATGAACGAATTAAGAAATTTGATGCTATAGGCGTGATATATGGGAGATGGTACACATTTCCAAAGTAGGAAAAAGACGACTTATTATGAAAGCAAGTGGGAATTATTGTGAATGATGAAGAATTGTTGGGCATGAATCGAGATCGATCCAATGACATTAAAATTTGCCCCCATGTGGGCACATGCAAAGAACATGGTCTTATTCTGTACCTTTTCAACCTTTCCATCCTCCTCCCTTAATTCTTTCGTACAAGGGCATCGCACAATCCCCATCTTATCTTTTAATTTTAGTTAGCTGGCTACTCATTTCCCACCAAACAACATACGTGTGTTTTATGTAACGTCAAACTCATTTGTGGGGAATCATTTCCCTATATCTCTCAATTGATGTTTGCATATGTTATATATTCACATGTAGTTAGATCAAAATGATGTATAAAATATCAAGAAGTGATTCATTTAAAAGTTAAATTAATAGTTTAAGTAGGGAATGTTTCTATATCTAATAAGAAGAATAAATTTTATTACTAAAGCATGCAATTATTTGATCTAAATGAATTAATTTACCTATGCGAAACATGTGCTTACATATATAGATGAGATTGCAGGCTCAGAAGATCTTACAAAAATGTGTTCAAGTATTTTAAAAATATTTTACAATTTGAATTGTCTTAAATTATAAAATAAGATATTTTTAAGAGTTTAAATTACAAAATAATAATTATAAAAAAAAATCTTATTATACTAAATTTTTTAATATCTAAAAATTATATTAAATTATCACTAATTTGAAATAGAATTAAATCAAAAAAAATTTAAATTTAAATTTAAATTACATAACATGTGAATAAAATAAAATAAAAAATAAATAAATAACTTGTTTTTTATTGTACAACTAAAAAAAAAAATACTAGCTCCACGTATCATAATTTTGTAAAAATTTAATATGTGAGTTTTGAACTTTTAATATAAAAT